TTCCAGATCGAAGACATCATGGCATCAAGGAAGGCATGCCCCTGGCTCCAACGGCGGAAACGGAAAACTGCCTACAATGCCGGCTCTGCCACCGGTACCACGCCTTGCGGACGTGCTCGGCCTTCAAGGCGATGAAGCCGCCACAACGGTTGGGAGTAGCCCGCGCACAGGGTTACTGCCATCAACTACCTTGCCCTCACCCACACTACGGGGGAGTGCGACTCGCCAGGCAGCTGCAAGACCTACGGGCTAGCGCACCACACGCTGCTGCATATGGCAGCCAACAACCATGCGTGCACGGGCAAACGAAAGCAGCAACCCACCTGCACGTAAGCGAGTAAAGACGCCCACCATCAAGGGAAGCCCGGAGCAAAAGGCGCAAAACCCGCGCAATCAGGAGCACAATATGCGCAATCAGGCATCGCAACCGCCACGCAAGAAGACCGCCTGACGCACAATTGCGCGCACCCCCCAAGGCCCGCAAACGGCCAACTATCAGGGCCGCACCACTAACCGCGCCCTGGGCAACGCGATCCGCGCGCTGAAAGAACTGCAGGAGACCCTAAGCAGCGCATTCCTGCAGGGCGGGGAGGATGTTTAAGCCGCCGCTTAAAGCGCAACCCGACGGCCGTGCGCGCAATCCTTGGCCGCAGCAGTTTGGCAGTTGACCTACGTCAACTCCGAAAATGATTACCGAGCTCGCACGGCCGCCTACCATCATCGTGCCAAATTATGCGAAAGGCAGTTCAGCTAACATCGTCGGACTACGCGCACGCGTCCTTATCGGAGTCAACACAGTGTTGTACTACATTTACCCAATAAATTTGTAAATTTGTGTGTGACAAAACTACATAAATCAGAAAAAAATATTTAAATTTTGTAACTATTAAATTGGAAAAACAAAGTCTTTCCTTACAGCGGAAACAAAGTGTGTGCAAGCAAGGTGAGTGCGAAGGGACCAAGCGACCAAAATATTCAATATAGAAAAAGTGCATAACACCGTCAGTAAAAATAGCAACTTCAGACTGTCACTTTATTATACTACATTATTAATTTAGAAATACTAATTAAATTACTTGGAATTGGGATGAAAAGTTTTTGCAATTTTTAAAATGTTTGTTCAAAGTTTGAAATTTGGACTTATATGGCTTTTGTTAGATAAGGAGCTGAATTTTGATTCAAAATTAATGAACCTTAAAAAATGAAAAGTAGTCAAAACTGGAAAAAATATTGATGTGGTACCTTTTGTCGCGGGCTGTACTTTATATAGAAGAAAATCCGCAGCACAGTCAGCAAGAAAAATTATTTGATATCAACACGAGTTTTAATATTCTTCAAATTTGCAATATAATGCTATTGTAATATAATGCAATGGTCTGTAAAAGTATCAAACAATTTTCTAGAAAAACTAAGTAAAATGTTTGAAACCTCGTAATTTTCAATTTTAGTACAAAAAAAGTTTTTATTTAAATGGTCTTTGTTTTTAATGATCTCCACTTTTATATAAAAAATTAATGAGCATTAAACAAAAAAATAGCAAAAACTGGTGAAAATCTCGAATTCTTTTATTTTGTTACCTACATATGTACGTTTTAATAAAGTTGTTTTTGTGAAATATAAAAAACACATATATATTTTAATCGAACATTAGGGAATATATAGCTCGTCTTTTAAGCTCGCCATCATTGTTTGTTGTGGAATATCCAGTGTCGGTAACGTCACTTCTGAAGACGCTAATAAAATGTTGTGCAAAATACAGCATACAAGAAACCACTCACATGCTTGTCGCTTACTTTCGTTATTGTGTAACCTCATTCGCACCTGTTTTAGGCTTCCAAACTTTTCCTTGAGAAGTCCAAAACAATGTTCAATTCGAACTCGATATTTACTATGTCGCAAATTAAAGGCTACGCGCTTATTTCGGTCAAGATGTTGTGAATTATTTCGGTACGGTGTGATGACATTTTCTGAAAGTGGATATGCGGAGTCTCCGGCTATCCATTCTTGGGTGGAGAAAAATCCTTTCCTTGGAAAGTGCACAAGACCGAAATATTTTGGCATCGTGGGCGCTACCATAATGGCCAACAACTACATTCCGAACTCTAAGGGAATATTAGCAAACCACTTGCGCTTTAATTGAATATGCATGGGTCCTTGAAAAATATGCACTATGATTTTGCACAGGTGTCTCCGCAGTTTTCAGCTCGGTGCCGTCTATGTAACCGATACAGAAAGGAAGTTCATCGTATGTCAAATCAACAATTTTTTTATGTTCCGTTTTTGAAGGCCATTTTATATACCGTGTTTGCAATTTTAAAATTGCTTTGAAAACTCTGGGTGATTTTCGGTATTGTGCCACCGTCACTTATTCCGAAAATTGCTGCGATTTTCCTTATTCATGAACTCTCTCCTGATGAACCAAGACGAAATAGAACAACGGCTAACTGTAACTCTATAGGAAACTGTTCGCATGCATGCGATTTATAGAATTCGCCATGGTCGCGAATCAATGCTAAAAGATGAGCGAACTGCAATCGATTGACCCTAAGCATTTGGAGGAAACGGTTGTCGTCCAATGATGTTAAAATGTCATTTCGCCATAAAACAGATTTCGGTATAATGCGGTCAATCCCACGGCGGCAAAATTATATCAGAAGAATATCTTCAAAGAGTTCGTCCAGAGCTTCACCAATTTGTCATCATCCAAACCTACAAAAGCACAAGTACATCCATATACATAGTTCAAATAAACGTAAACTCACACATTTACTTACTTTGCATGATATTAATTTCATCCAATGTATTTTCGCACACAAATTGAATAATTTTATTCTTTTCTGTGTTCCTCAGCATTTTGCGTATGTCGACGTTCAGACACGAAAACTTTTGTTGCGGAAACGCGAAGCTTTTNTTTATTCTTTTCTGTGTTCCTCAGCATTTTGCGTATGTCGACGTTCAGACACGAAAACTTTTGTTGCGGAAACGCGAAGCTTTT